GGAAGGGGGTGTAAACACCTGGTCTTCAAGTGGTTAAAGACTAAAAAAGAGAGGTACACCTACTCCCACCCCCTCCTTTGCTATCAATGATGGCAATATCTTTAGGAAGCCTAGCACCCTTTCAGACCTGGAGTCATGAATATGCCCTGTAATAAAAAAAAATTTAATGGAACAAAATGTTAATTAAACAAAATAGAGAAACTGTTGATCTGTGCTTATGGATACCTATTCGGGAAATAAAGCAGCCACAATTGCAGGCTGAAAAGTCCTAACAGATTAAAAAGAGATTTTGCGGCGCTAAAATCCCCTAATGTGTAAAATAACTGAATAACTAGATAAATCAAGTGACTCTCATGAACTGTGATTAGTGCCAACTTCTATCAGTGAAAAAACTTTTCTTCTAGAGCTGTGAAAAAGCATACAATTCTAATTGTGAAAAGAAAAAATCTGAAGACCAAATGGTCTCAAAAGATTGTGATAACAATATAAATCAATATTGACAATAAAAAGGAAACAACACTGACAACTCAAATAAATTGATTAAAATGTACAGTCACTTTGTGCAAGTGATGTATAGTGATGCGACCCCTGTCTGATTAAACAGACCTCTCAATGTTCAAAAAACCGTGAAGTATAGTGATTAAGCAAATGTTTACCATTACAAATGTAAACATAACTTTCTCCTGTTACTTCTGTAATAGTATTTGGACATTTATTTGTACTTTGCCATTTTTCTGTGCTAGATGAATAGATTCGATTTGAAATTAAAAATATTAGTGATCTTGCTTTTTATTTTAGGGGCTTGTGGCTGCAGTACTGAAGGTACCTTCAAATCGGGTAGTATGTCATGTAAAACGAGTTGGAGGAGCGTTTGGTGGAAAAGTAACAAAAACAGGTTGTCTTGCATCGATCACCGCAGTTGCTGCTAACAAGTAAGTTACAATCCAAATAGTGTCCTGTGTATCTCAGCAAACTATAGCTCCAAGTCTGCAAAGCAATAATGAAAAAGAAACTGCAGACAAATTACACAATTCAGTAATATTTAGTCCAATATACTAAATGCCTCCTGCAGGACTTGCTTGCCGTGAATCTGTGATTTGCTTATGCTCCTCCTGCAGGTTATACCAACTCCCCCCCCCCAACTATGTTTGGACGCCCAGACTGAAGAGAACTATATGGTAGTTATGGGTGTAGAGATCATGTGACTCATTTACCTACCTTCCATATGACTGTGCTGTGAACTAATGGCCTCTCAGGCACCTAGTGCTGCCTGGGTGAGCTAAGGGGCAGAAGTAAAGGGAAGGTAGGGAAGTTATTATTGGTACTAGCATTAAATTAACCTGTTGTATTGCCCTGTATGAACAAAGCACGGGTTTACTTTAGGTGAATGGTTACCTGAGAGAAATACAGGGGGTTGGCTGTGTTGACCTGCATCTTAAAATGCTAGTCATCTGGCTGGCTGTTTTGCTGATGCACTGGCTTTAACACTTTAAATTGCTGACCTAAAATGAATATCCAGCATGATAGCCAGGGAACCAGCATTTTCAGAAGACAGCCATGAATGCCTCCATCTTTCTCTTATAACAACACACTGGGGGGTATGTATCAAAACGGTAGCAGATCAAATCTGGAGCAGAGTGCATGGCAACCAATCAGTTTTCTTTTTTCAGTTAAGATTTGAAAATGAAAGGACTGGCAAGCTGCAATATTTAAACATTTTGTTCTTGGGTTTAGATATACTGTAAAGGGAACCTGTGCCCAAACCATGTACACAAAATATTCATATTCAGAACAAGCAGTAAAAGCACTTTAAAACATGCCCCCCATTAATCTCTGTATCTATCATATTTATCTATCTGTAGCGATCACTAGACATGTGCGATTTGTTTCATTCTGAATTGACATTCATACAAATTTCTGCATATTCGGACATTTGGATGCATCCAAATTTTTGAATGACAGGAATATCAAATCCGATTAAATCCGAATGTTTTTAATAACAAAATGTGGGTGCATCCGAAATGTTTCCCGAATGTCATTCGGAACGGAACAAAGGTGAGCTGTGTGTCAATATGTGACAGCTCTCGGCCTCTTTGTTGACATCGGGGCTCGCATCCCGAATGTCAAAAAAGAGGCAAAGAGATTTTACAGAATGTAAAGAAAGAAGAGGAGAGCTATGTGTCTGTGTCATTCCGTGGCAGCTCTCTCTACCTATTTGTTGACATCTGGGACTCGCAACAAAGAAGTGGAGAATTGTCACAGAATGCAAAAAATGTTTAACTGTTAAAAGTTCACAGAAATAATCTTGAAAAAACAGCGTGCGATACCTCCCCTCCTGCACCATACATTTGCCGACGGGGACCCCCTAGAAAAAGCACCTTGTCCCCATGTAATGAGGACAAAGGCTTCTTCCCCACCACCCTAGCCCCGATGGTTGTGGCGGTCTGCAGGCAAGGGGCCTATAGGAATCTGGGTGCCCCCTTTCATAAAGCGGGCACCCAAATGCCGCCCCAACTTTGTGAATGAGTAAGGGGTAGTTGTACTACTACTCATTCACCAAATAAACGGTAAAATTGTAAATAAATACACCACACTGTAGAAAAAGTCTTTTATATGAAAAAAAAAACACAACAAAGTTTTTGACAATTCCTTCCTGCTCTGCCAGGCTGCTGCTCGGATCAAGGGTCTAGTGAGGGATTTTAGGGGGGACCCCATGAAATTTTATTGTTTTTTTTTTGACTGTCAAAAGTTTAAAAGTTTTGTGTGAGCAAATGTTGTTAATTGTATTAATTGTATAAAACTTCAATAAAAAGAATTTTTCAAAAAAAAAAGTTAAAAAGTTAACATTTAATGTCCCTTTTCTGCAACATAATTATCGTTTTTAACTCATCTGAAATTACCGCAAAATTTGAATTCATCTGAATGAGAATGCCAAAACGAATTGCCTTTTTAGACTCGTCCGGAAAAATGAAAAAAGGAAACATCCGAAACGAAAGGAAACAAACGAAAAACTTTTTTTTTTTTTTGCTGGCGCACATGTCTAGCAATCACCCCTAAAGGAGCCGTTGGTAATTTTGTGTCCCCCTGGGTTACGGGTTTAGCAGTTACTGGCCCCTTTTTCTCCACTGCAGCAACACCAGCACTTCTTAAATTGAACAGGCTCGAGTCATAGGGTCTTTTTAGTGTTTATTGCTCCGTAGCAAACTTTGGAGAAAGGGTTTAGGTTTGCAGGATACCCAAAAGCACAAAATAGAGGACACTATCTTCTGTAGTAGCAATAGCAACAGGTCCTGAGAGCTACCAAAAATAGATTTTTGCAACAGAGAGCAGCCAGTAAAAATGACTCTGTGAGAGCAGTCACAATACTTGCAGTGCACTAACTGGCTTCTTCGCTTCTGTATAGTACCTGAGTCAAGGGTGAGGAATCTCTTACAGCAGGGGTGTCAAACTCAATTTAATCGTGGGCCGCATCAACATTATGGTTGCCTTCAAAGGGCCTGTAAGACTATATAAATGTAATATTTATCATAATTGCCTCTGCATTCAATTATCACTGGTTTTAGTAATAACATAATACCTAGATCTGAAAGTAGAAGTCTAGGAAATGGCCTGGTGGGCCGAATTCGCCCCCTGAGCCTTGAGCTTAACACATGTGTCTTAAAGGGCTCAGATGGTAGCTCTCCCCAGCTCTGCTGCGACATTCCTCAGTAAGCAGATTCTTCCTCCAGCTCAGCCTCTTTCAGGTTTCTTTCCAGCATCACCTTAGACCTCTGAGCCTCTAGCACCTGTCACATGCTGAGGACCAGGTCAGACATCTTGCAGACACACAGGCCTCCTCCCAGGCAGAAGCCCCAAGGGAGAGGGAGTATTGGAAATATGCCTCCAAAGATGTATAACCTTCCCCAGCCATACCTCCTGAGTCAGCCTTCTTAGGGATTGGTCAGAGCCAATGTATATTTATAATCTGGTACTTGATCCTCCCACACTGAATACTGGAGCCCATCCCAACAACAGAGGGAAGCGATCAATCTACCAGATTTAGGGAAAACCTGCAGAAACCAGAGTAATCAACCTCCAGACTGATTACAGTCCAGCAATAAACATACTAAGTTTAGTAGTGACACAACTGTAAACGACAAGGGCAATACATAACCATTGTAGAGACATACATTTTCAAAATTCTCAACACATGCAGTGAAATCTTTGCTTCTTTCTACAGTATGAGAGCAGATCTTGGCAGGCTGCCAACCTTCTACTATAAACAATCAGCAGGTGTTTATAGGCTTCTAGAAACAGACTGAAACTGACTTTGTTGCAATTTTGTTTAACAAAAATGCATCTTATTTGTGTATCACTCAGCTGTAGATCCTCAAATCATCTCTGAATTGGTGCTGACACTGTCCTTCCTTCTGGAGGGTGGCTACTTTTGTTCCCCATGATCCCTGTGTGTGTTGCAAAGTAGCCACCGCTCCAAGCTCACTCCCATGATAGAGTAGATAAATACATTTTTGTTAATAGGGTACTTAAAAGAGAACTATGGGGTAAGTGTTTTTCCCCATAGTTCTCTTAAGGGTCACGAGAGGACATATACTAGCGTTCTCCCGTGACCCAAAGTTCAATATATCGCGAGCTACAGCTAGTGGTATACCGAGACCGCCGCAAACCTGTCGAGATCCACCCAGCTGTGTGAATGGCAGCTGGCTCTGCCAATCTAGAGGAAGAGCCAGCTGTACCCGCAGCCTCCCCCGTCCATTCCTCCAGTCAGCGCGCGAGGAACAGAGCGGGGAGGGGGGGAATCGCTGCGGGGAGAGGTGACTGACAGTCACCGCTCTCTGCAGGGAGATGATCGAGAAGTGAGCAAGCGATGGTATGCGTTCGCTCACTTCCCGATCTATTGAGCCGACATGTGACAGTTTCATTGTCACACGTCGGCTTGAACTATGAGGATGAGTGATTTTCCCTCACCTCATGGTTCTACTTTAAATGCATTTTTATCACCACCTGACAGGTATACTAGTCTTTATGGTCAATAACATTTTGAAATGACATTAGAAGTATTGAGTGTCCCCATTAATGAGCTTTCAGCTCATACCGCCAGGGAGGTAGGGATGCACCGATACCGGTATTTTGGTACCGAGTACCGCTAAAAAAAATTCGGTACTCGCCAATACCAATTACCGAGTAACGGAAGTCCCATTCAGGAAGCCAGGTGGCGTGTAATGACTCGCCACCTGGCTTCCTGATTGGCCGGCCAGACGGCTCCGACTGGGTACCAGAGGAAGGCCACGTTCTCGCTGGAGAGGCCCCGGGGGCGACAGGATGGACATACTAAAGGTAAGGTAACCTTACCTCACGAGGCCAGCTTCTTGATTGGCCAGCTTCCTGACCAATCAGGATGCCGGGCAGCACATCATTACACGCTGCCCGGCTTCCTGATACCGGAAGTACTCGTGCTAGGCATCGGAGCATTTGGGCGAGTACTCGTACCTAATAGCATCGGAGCATTTGGGCGAGTACTCGTACCCATATCCCAACCTAGGGTTGTTTTTTCAGTATGGCTGTGATTCTGCATCATTAAATTCTTTTCAAGTGTTTTTTTTTTACAATGGCTGAGAGATACCAATGTTTACTTTAGGACAAAGCGTGCAGTGCGCTGTGTTCTGGAGCGTGGGGATGACATGCTAATAACAGGAGGACGCCATCCATACCTTGGAAAATATAAAGTAAGTAGACATCATTTACTTTTATTATACTTTAGAAATTTGTCAACATAATTCTTTTTTTTATTGTACTGTAAGCACAATGACAAAATTATGGAAAAAATACTGTATAGGGACAGCATGTAGTTTAAAATAACAATGAGCAATTGTGGATACAATTTTCTCTCCTTCAGGTAGGGTTCATGAATGATGGTCGGGTGACTGCTCTAGATGTGTCCTATTACAATAATGCTGGTTCTACCTCTGATGACTCCATCCTGGTAAGTCATTTTACTTCATCTACTCCTCCTTTCACATTTATGTTACCTTCAGATGATGTGTTGTGTAAACCCACACTTGTAAAATACATCTTTTGTTGCTTCTTAATTCACATGCAAGTCTGGGTATTAAGAATATGTGCATGCAATATTTTCAAAATTAAGTTTATACGCAAAAATTCATGAATGACCACTTCTCTTATTTAGGTAGTTGAGGTTGGTCTAATGAACATGGACAATGCTTACAAAATACCCAATCTAAGATGTAAAGGAACTGCATGCAAGACCAATCTCCCATCAAACACTGCTTTCCGAGGGTTTGGATATCCACAAGCTGCATTTGTAACTGAAACTTGTATGAGTGAAATTGCTATTAAGGCGGGGCTCCCATCTGAGAAGGTGAATAACACTTTGTCACATGAAGATTTTGTCAGGATGTCTTAAAAGTAAATATGCTCTTATCTTATATTGCCTAAAGTAGTGGTGTTTTTAAAATGCAGTTACTGTTATTATCTGGTATTGCCTAGATTGGTGGTGTAAACAAAATGCAATCATTTAGAAATGTCTGCACATACCTACAGCTTTTTTTGAGCGCCCTGGTATCTCAAAACCTGGGAAGCTCATTAATGCAACTTGTGACTACATTTAATGCTCCCCTTTTTCCTCTTTTGTTCCATACCACTCTTTTGGTCTTTTATCAGTGGACCAATAGAGAGTTGCAATGGACAAGTAGAGAGTAAGATTGGTTGGGCCAAGCAGAGATTCATGTCAAAAGTGGCATAAATAAGTGTTTCAGGATTCAGGAATCTGGGACACTTGTTAAGAAAGCTACAGGTATGTGTAGGTACTAGGTCTAGGAGCCTACATTTCATGAACACCATTAGTGTAGCTACTATAGGATAATTATAGGTTCACTTTAATGTTGATACATTTAGACAACTGGGGTGTCTATAGTGGTTAAAAAAACATTTTGGAAAATCGGCTTGGGCACAACTAAAAGACCAATTTTTTCTAATTCTAATTAATTTTTCAGGTTAGGGAGCTCAATTTGCACAGAGGGATTGGCCAAACACACCTGAAACAGGAGATAGATGCCAGAACCTTGATAATGTGCTGGAATGAGTGCATGGAGAAATCTTCTTACCATAACAGACGACTTGCCATTGAAGAATTTAATAAGCAGAATTACTGGAAGAAGAAGGGATTGGCCATCATTCCCATGAAATTTCCCATTGGATCCATTGTTAAATTTTTTGGACAGGTATATTTAACTTTATCACTTAACTTCCAGATTTTAATGATGCCGGTGGGTGTATTTTTCTAAGACAAGTTTTAACACAGTCATGTGATGTTACAATGTTTTTGTGTATGCTGTGCCAATTATATATTGCAAAAATTGGACAAAGATTTAAAATGTAATTCCTCATTCTGTTTGATTCTAGGCTGCAGCTCTTGTTCACATCTATCTGGACGGATCAGTGTTGATTAGTCATGGTGGGGTAGAGATGGGACAAGGAGTCCACACAAAGATTATGCAGGTATATATTCATTCTCGTAAATTATTATTTTTACTTGATGGGTATTATGGAATGGATTAGTTCATGGATTAGTTAGGGATGTGAACATGGAAATCATGATATTTAGCTTTTGTTGTGCCTAATTGATAACATATGTAACTTCCTTCTCAAGTGATCATGTGGCCATGCTGTAGACTAATTACATTAGTTTAATAAATAGGAAAAAAACGAATAAACAAGCAATCCCTGGTTCCAAACCTTGCAGGCGCACTGAGCAATGATTCCGTATGGAATTTCACAGCAAGGAAGTCTTGCATTTGTTTGGAATTTGCCCTGTCTGTCCGACCTGTTAACCTTGTTCTCTCTCCCTCCCATCTATGATGCTGTTGTTTTAAAGTGACATTAAACGGAAAACATTTTTTCCCTCCCCCCAATGTTAATGTCAGCACTTACCTTAAATGATTTATCTTAATCCGATCTTCTTCTTCTTTCCTGATGTCTTCATCTGTCCCTCCAGCGCTGCGGCGGGTGTCCGATCCAGCGCTGACTCCTCTGTCCTTGCTGGCACTTCCTGTCCTACGGTGTCTGCATGCGGGTGCACGCGTCCATAGACTTACCTTGCGTCTCCGCTCGTCTCCCGTACGAAAATCCGAACTGTGCATGCGCCCGCCCCAAGATGCTTTGCGGCTGCCGAAGCAGTTTAGTTTTCTCGGACTTTATGCATTTAAAAAAAAAAACTTTATGCATATAGCTACTGCTTGCTAGCAGTAGCTATATGCAAACAAAAAACCAGAGGGTTTAGAAGCCCTTTAATATCTCAGTCTACCTATAATATTTAGGAGTCTTCCTAACAGGCTGTGAAACATAAACCGAAGCAAAACTAAAACAGTCACTTTGGTTGCATATCAGACCCGAAAGTTATTACTAACATTTTAGAAGGTGTGTAAAAAAATGTGATCTGGTGGCAAAGGGGTTAAAGAACATTTCTAGACTTTACATAAAGTCAATCAGTGAATTGTTAATCCTGTTCAGAATAAAATCAAAATAATTTGAGCTTTGTAAAACCTCACAAAGCTGCCTTCTCTGTGGCTTCAGTGGTGGTCCCATTGATGGGCTTCTACCCAATTCTGAAATACCAGTTTTAGGTGGTCTGCCCTTTGAACCTTCTACTTTGTCTAACTTCACATTATGATTCATGACATGGGCACCTCTGTAACTAGTACATAGATTTATTTCACAGACAGACAGAATAGCCTTTTAAGTAGAAAAATAAAATCATTTTGTCTTGTTCTATATCTTCCAGATTGCAAGCAGAGAACTGGACATTCCTATTTCAGAAGTGCATGTTTCTGAGACCAGCACAGGTTCCGTCCCCAACACATTGGTCTCAGGTGGCTCTCTAGGGACTGACGTCAATGGAATGGCAGTGAAGGTACACATTTTTATTGATAACTTACAGTAATATGACACATTCCTGTACTCTTCACTGATAATGAGATTTTTCATGTTATACAAACATTACAGTACAGAATTCTGAATATCTAGGCTGTCATTTCAGACTAGTACGAGGCTTAGTGTGGCATTTGCAACCACTTAAGATGTGAGGTAACCCTAAGGGCTAGTTCACACCAAGCGCGGAGCAGATCCAGAGCAGGTGCAGATCGGAATCAAAACTGCGTCCAATGTATTCCTATGGTATTTTGAGCTCCAGTTCACATCGCAGTGTGCAGATCCAGAGCAGGTAAAAAAAAACTGCAGCAGACCCTATTTTACCCGCTCTGGATCTGCAAACGCATCAAAAATGCATCAAAAACGCATGCAAATGCCTGGAACGCACTGAAAGCCCACGTTAAACTATAAAAAAAAATATATATATTTTTTTTAGCCAAAATTGCATCTAAAAGACTAGCGTGCGTGTGCAGAAACCTGAGCGCATCTGCTCTGCATTTGGTGTGAACAATGCCTCAAGCTGGTCATACACTGGTCAAATTTTGTCTTTCTGCTAAATCATACAAAATTCGGCCACTGTGTGGTCTCCTCAGGAC